GTGTTGAAATTACAAGATTTAGAAAATCTTCATTAATTTTGTAATTAACTCTGCTTACGTTTGTAGTTTGCATCAGTTTTGCACTTTCACCAAATAGAGGGACAGAAGATTGCGAAGGAGATAAATATGCACATTAAAGACTATTTGCAGTATAACAATGTAATTACGAAAAAAATTATGTTAAATAAGCTGTTTTACAGAAGAATTGTGCTAGAAGAATTATTTTGACACAGAACTTTTATATAAGAAGATTTCATTCGACTTTTTAGGTCATTTATCTTGAATTGAAAATCCAGCTGTTTTAGTTGTCGTCTGTTGCGGGAACATAGACTAGAAAAAGGAAAATCTTCTCTTTCGAATGATATATAATGTGCAATACTTTACCTCAATTTGTCAAGAAATACCTAGAATTGTTCGTAAGCAAGCCTCGCCATTCAGCTGCGTTGCTCAACAGAAACGTCTATAGGTAGCTAATATGAAGAAAATTTGATTTGCGAGGATATTAACAATATTGAGGCAACCTTCCTCAATACAATAGCAAAACTCTAATATCCCCCGTGATGGTCTACCCCCTCATCGTGGCGCGGCGGTGACTCTAGGAGTCGAATTGCAAAGTACAGCGGAGGTTTATTCTCCAGCAGGATCTCCCAAGCTGAGAGGGAGTTTGACGTTTCCGGTTCCACGGATTTTCCGGTTCCAGCTAAGAGTAGGCCATGCCAGAAGCATCACCGTCTGGCTGATCCAGTCGCTAGTGGCTCCCTGATCCACATAAGTCTGCCCGTAGTGAACGCTTGGCAGGGCCCTGGCAAGGCACTGCTAACGTTTGGTGAGATTCCTTTACTCATTGCCCCTACAGCATGTAAGCGAAAAAGAAGCTTTGCATACTGGATCACATCTACGGCGTCGCATGTCATCAAGACCAGTGTCAGGTTGCACAGGACGCCATGGATTTCGGACCAAAAGGACGCGTACGACTCGCCATGGGGATTGTCTCATGCTCTGCACCTACATCGCCAGGACAGTCTCCACTAACGCCGATCTTCACGCCCTTCTCGAAGCTGCAGGGCGCATCAACTACCAC